GACAGTTACGTGGATTTTTAGGATTAGTGTCTTACTATTGATGATTTAACTCTGAATTTACAAGAATCGCAGTTCTATTAAATTCGTTACTACGAAAGAACATTGGATATTATTAGACATTAATGTATCAAGAAGCTTTTGAGGAATTGAAAGAAAAACTTATCACAGCTCCAGTTTTAGCATACCTGAATTTTTTAAAACCTTTTATCCTTTTTACAGATGCATCAGATTTAGCACTAAGCACTATTCTTTCTCAATTGGATAATGACGAAAAAGAAAGACTGATCACTTATGCAAGTCGCTCTTTGACCCAGCAGAAAAAAATTATTCTGTAACGGAAAAAGAGTGTCTTGCTATCATTTGGGCTGTTTTATATTTTAGACCTTATCTTCACAGAGTTTTTTTTACACTTTATACAGATCATTCTGTGTTGAAATCATTATTTTCTCATCGGCTACCCCAGAATCGACTGGCCAGGTGGATCCTGACCTTGCAGAAGTATAGATTTACTACCATCCACAGATCCAGAAAAATACATCTTAATGCTGATAGTCTTTCACGAATTTAAGACAATCGATTTTTTTATTTTTACTCCTATTTAAACTTTGATGATATCAATTTCAGATTACCCAAATTTTGATTAACAAAACTTTATGGATTTAGATACATATTACTTATTTTTAAGGTACCTTAGCGAGTCTACAGTACCTTCTAGTTATACTAGTGCCCAGATTAGAATTTTGAAGTATAAAACACATCATTATCTTGCCCGAGAAGGATTGTTATACAAGAAGAACTCCTGAAACCCTCTCATATCACTACGAATATTGAAGCCACAAGAAGTTGAACCCGTATTATATGCAATGTATTTGGATTCCTTAGCTGGCATTTCAATAAAGAGGCAACGTACCAGCAAGTTATTACCTGATATTTTTGGCCACAGATGGGAAATGATATTTGGGATTATGTTAAGTCATGTGACTCATGTCAAAGAAGGGGAAAACCTGTTACTAGAGAACCTCTTCACCCTATTCGAATTGGACAACCCTTTGATCGAATAGGTATCGATATTGTTGGACCTCTTCCTTACTATAAAAGAATATTGGTATATAGTTGTAGTGACCGAATACTTAACTCAATGGCCTGAGGCACGTGCTATTAAATATGCTGATGCTAAAACAGTAGCAGCTTTTCTGTTCGAAGATATTATTTGTCATCATGGGAGTTTACGTGAGTTGCTTTCAGATCAAGGAACTCATTTTTGTAATAAAATTGTGGATGCATTGTGTTCCAAGTAAACGTTCGCTGTTCAAAATCAACAGTTTATCATCCTCAAACAAATGGATTAGTTGAGCATTTTAATCGAACATTGTGTGAAGTTTTAGCTAAGTGTATAGAGCAGTTTAATGGTGATTAGGAAGATTACATACCTGCGGCTCTTTTCGCTTATCGAACAAATTGGCATTCTACGACCTGTTACAATCCTTTTTTCTTGTATATGGCAGGGATGCTTTGTTACCCATAGAAACTATAATTTCAATATATCTACATGAAGCAATTACTGAAGAAGAGTTACAGGACCAATTATTGCAACGGATAGAAAGTTTGTTAGGGAAATTAACTGAATCATACCTTCAGGCTAAAAATAATATTATGAAGACTCAAGATAAACAAAAAGCACGTCATGACCAAAGCCATCGGATAGAAAGCTA